TCTAGTTTTGTGTCATCTGCAAACTCAGACACATGACTTTCAATACCCACTTCAGGATCATTTAAAAACAGATTAAAGAGAAGTGGGCCCAGGACAGAATCCTGAGGCACTCCATTTACCAATTTTGTCCAATATGACAAATTTCGGTTTGCAGCTACTCTCGTCACTCTATCTTTAAGCCAGTGTTCTATCTAAGAATAATATTTTATTGTCTCAAGCAACTTTCAATATTACTAGTAACCTTTTGTGTGGAATTGTATCAAGTGCATTAGCAAAATCCAAGTAGAACACATATAATGGATCACGCTGATTTCTATTTCTATTAACTCCTTCAAAACACAATTAAGTTATTCTGGCAGGACCTGTCTTTTTTAAAGTCATGTTGATTCCTAATAATGATATTTTAATTCAAAATGAATTCTTAAATATTATACCTAAACAGCCCTTCAAATAATTTCCTAACTACAGATGTTAATCTCACGGGTCTGTAGTTGCCGGGTTGAGCTTTTAAACCCTTTTTCAATATAGGCACCGCATCTGCTTTTCTTCAATCCTCTGTTAAAATTCCTGGAAGAAAATTATCCTGAAAAAATAATAACAGTGGTACGAATATTTCTAAATTAAGCTCCCTAAGCACGCATGGGTGAATACCATTTGGACCTGGGACTTTGTTTGCATTAACTTTATTTAATTTCTGAAGAACTTTATCCTGTGTTAACCAATAACATGTTTGCTGTAAAGCTTTTGTAATAGGGATTTGCACATTTACAGTTATAGATTATTCTTCCCTATATACTGAAGAAAAGTAATTATTTAGAATTATTGTCGTGTCCTGATCCTCCTTGATTAACTCACCCATCTCACTTTTCAATGGACCAACACTTTTGATCTAAACCTTTCTTTCATTAACGTACTTAAAAAACTTAGAGAGTGCCAAGTAATTTGTTATGAAGGAGTTAATTTGTATTTTTTAAAATGTTTTATTTTAAATATTTTGAGGAACGAGTATTGAGACTTTTTAAAATCAGTCATATAATGATTTCTTTATTGACCAGAGGCCCACTATTTTTATTAAGACTTTGTACTTTTTAATTTGGACTCAATCCATCACTCTCTAAAAAGTAATGAGGGAATTGTGAAACATGCTGTGGAAAGTAGATTGACTCATACCCAAACAATACCTGTGGCTGGTCATTAATGGGTGGCATCTTTCAATATCCAAATAAGTTTGCCTGTTGATTCCCACAATGGCATCACATTTTGGAAAATAATTTATTGGCTTCTATGCTGAAGATATACTACCAGAAGTAAGGGTAGCAGTACTGGAAATATTGAACACTGCTTTCTGTATTTTTTTTTTTATTTTTTTTTAACTTTTATAAGGATGCAGTGTTAAATATCTTTATCTTAGTACAGTAGCTGCATGTGCCATGCTATGCACTAAATAAAACAACACTATATTATTTTTAGAGCGTGTAGGACCATTCTTTTTTTAATTTGGAATTTATTACTGGTGTGAAGATACCAGAGGTCAGTACAGCATCCCACTTTAGCAAGTGCTCATCAGTTTTGTTTTGTGTGTGCACTTACAAGCCAATTACTGGCACTTGCTCACACTCACTGACAATCACTCACACATTTAGTGATATGTACACTAATTCCCACTGGCACAGGTACACACAGATTTAACAAATACAAATTCTTTAGATGAGCTGTGTGAGTTTCAGAATGCAGGACGGCAGAAGTCAGGCTCAGTGCAGGTGGTGAAGGCTTTCTGTACAAGCAGCATTGTGGAATCAAGCATGCAGGCATCATACATTAACCTGATATACACAAGGCAGCAGTGAGACATGGGAGACAGCACTGAGGTTGTCAAGGTCTAATCTGAAATGGGGATTTGATTCAGAAGCAGCTGCCCAATGTTTAGGAGGAGTTTCTAACCAAAAAAGTTATAATACAATATAGTGTTGTCTTCTAAAATCTCTAAGGCCTAGGTCTATGTGTTGGCTTTATTAGCACCTACTCTGCAAAATTATTATCCCTGGAAGTGGATTTGTAAATCTTGGTCCAATATAGTCTATTTTTATTTTTTCATATTTTTGGCCAACATTTTTCGATTGCCTTGTCGATTATTCCCAATATCCACTGATGGCCAGATACCAATTCCTGAATACATATACTTTGCAATAGAATTTAGTAACCCTATTACTTATTAAAATGTATAGCAAAATTTGTAATGCAATAAGTTGTAAACTCGCTTTTCAAAGTACAGACATATTTCTATAGCCTCCAATGGGAATATCTACTCTCTGAATTGGCGACCTAGCTAAAGATAGTCAATGGAAATGATATGTTTAATCTTATTAAATCCATATTGGTAATACATAATACATGAAGATTTTACACACTAGCATGTTTTCACAAACTTATTTCTGTTGCCATGGTAACTTCTGCATTTTCCTACAATTGACATTTCTTGATAAGGGATTCACTGAACAGAATAATTATCTGGATGTACACATGCTATGTCAAATACCGAATATCTCATTTTGTTGAATGCTTGATTTTCTGAAACATTGACCCTAAACTCATGTTTAGCTTGTTTAAAATGAACTGGCATTTTCTGTAATATTATAATTATACTGATGTCATAAGGAGAACGAGGTCAGCATGAATTTAACATGTTTTTAAGAGATTATTCTTCATATTAAGTAATATTTGCGTCCTCTTACATATAGAGATATAATTCCATTTACAATATTTTGATAAGGCAAGTTTATTCTTCTCTAATGTAGAATAATTTGCCTTCAAGAAAATATTCCTCATTGCAATAGCATTAAAAGATAGTTTCCCTATTTCATGCAAATTAGGGCAGTTCTGGTCAGCATGTATTCTGCATCTAAGGTACATTTGAATTTCTCACTTGTAGAATATAAAGAGTTTAGGGTGATTATCAATGTTTTAAGATTATAGTAAGTATATATATATATATATATATATATATATATTTTTTTTTTTTTTTTTTTTAATGTGAGCAATTGCCTTTGGTTAACAAATACATTTACAGAGCCTGTAAAACCATGCATCATTGTTATAAGCAGGGGCAGAGGTATTTTTTTTTTTATTACTTACTTTGAGCATATAGATTCAGAAAAAGAGAAGAAGGCTAATTGCTAGAGTTTGTAAAATATATTATATATAGGTTTATTGGCGCTTAAAAACTTGACACAATGCAAATAAAGATTAGTGGCTGCTTTCTAAAAAAAGAGACCCAGCACCTACTAATACCAGTGTAATTTACCAGTTATTAACTGTGCACAAATTATCAACGTAAGCTGAACTAAAGTATAAAAAAAATAACAGTTAATTAAAAATGCCAAATACAAATGTTTCACAGGAGGACCGGAACAGAGCAGAAACCTCTTCCATTGTAGTAGGTGCAAATGAGCATAGAACAGTGGAGAGAGTGGGGTTGGGTGATGTATTAAAAGGGAAGGGAAAGAAATTAGAGATCTCTTCCCTGATTGTAGAAATCTTCTCAGTGAAGTGAGTTGCAAAGTTTGAGGTGGACATGGTGGTAGGAGGAGGGGGAGCAACAGGGCAAAGGAGAGCATTAAAAATGTGAAATAGTCATTTGGGTTCGCAGGAGAGTATGGTTATGAGGGTATGAAGTAATTTACTTTTGCAGAGGAAAGAGACAGATTGTAGGAGCGCAGCATAAATTTATAGTGGAGGAAGTCAGGTGCAAAGTGAGACTTTCTTCAATAGTGTTCAGCAGTTCTGGAACATTTTTGGAGATATCGGGTCAGCTTGGTGTGCCAGAGTTGTAATTGGGAACGCTTGCTGTGTTTAAATGTATGAGGTGCCATGATGTCTAGTTGAGAGGAGAGAGTGGAGTTGTAGAGTGAAGTTGCAGAGTTAGGGCAAGTGAGATTTGAGATGGGTAAAAGGAGAGTTTGGAGTTTGGAAATTAAGGTTGGAGATCAAGGCAGTGGAGGTTTCTGCGAGATTGGAGAGTTGAGGGTGGTGAAATGTGGGTATGGGGTATGCTGATGTCAAAGGTTAGCAGATGGTGGTCAGATAAAAGAAAATGGAATAGTGGAGAGATTGGAGGTGGTACACAGATTGGTGAAGATGAGGTCAAGAGTATTTCCTGCAATGAGTTGCTGAAGTAGACCAATACATAATCAATATACACAAATATGTAGTAGAGAAACAGGAAAGGGATCTACAGAGAAGGGATAATAATATAGTGTAACACAATTTAGAATTTATGAACTTTGCTAATTGAAATGCACTCACAAGATGGAATAGTAATGGAAACGTTTCAATGTGTCTGCCCTGAGCATCCTCGGTAGTGAATAGATATCACCTGCATCTCAAACTGTCCATGCCAGGATCAATTATGCCAGCACTCCCAGGGACAAATCAGCAAATTCATTTATATGAAAAATGTAAAATAAATAAAATTAGAATAAAGTGCTGTAGTCGGATACATTTCGTCTGAATTTGGACTTCCTCGGGGAACAATTGTGAATAAAAAACTTAAAAAATACAAATAGTTAAAAAAAACTCCCGCAATTTGCAGCCAAAATTCCCTCCCTCCCAAGTCCATCATTTATAGAGCTAATCACTAGATCTGATTGGTGCTCCCATTGGTGTACCTCACTGTCTCCCCCCCCCGATTGGATTTCCAATCTCCAATACGAATGTAGGATTCACGCCTCAGCCAAAGGCCATCGTAAAAACTTTCAGCAGCTGCTAATTATGAGTCACTAAACATTTATTTTTATGTTTTATGGAAACAGGCATTAGTCAATAATGTTAGCAACAACAATTTTTGCATTTACAAAGTTGTCTCTAAATTGTTGTGGAAACCACAGGAAAAAAGCCCAAAGTAAACTCTACTGTCACACACAATATTGTGTCTTATATATAAATTATATTTATACATAATTAGTAATCTAACATTATTTATATGTTTTCTGTGTATTATTTAGGTTTTACTGGGAGACCAATGAAAAGAATGCATAGTTTAAAAGGACTGACAAGGCAGCAAATTGTCACCAGAGTGGAGTGGTTTGTTGCAGAACTGAAAAACTACAATGTCATCCCTCAAACAGATAACATCCATTGTCGTGATATTGCATTACAAAACAAGGATCATGTACGTAAATCTCACCTCAGAGTTCATGCTGTGTCCATTTTTTTTTTCTGGTTTAAAATATGAAACATTAATGCAAAAACTTTTGATTTTTTTTTGTGTTCTTTGCCAAAACAAACAAAAAAAAATTGCAGAATTCTACGACACCTTAAACACACTCAGGAGAACAGTGTTGATTTTGGCAGCAAATTTCCATTTAGTTTTAGTCATAGTCTTTTGTCTAACAAGCCATTTTAGTTTTAGTCGTATTTTAGTCATCTGAATTGTTTTAGTTTTAGTCTTGTTTGGTCGACTAAATCTCCAGTAGATTTTAGTTGAAGCAACTAAAATCTAATGGGTTTAGATAAAGCCTCTACATGTCTCTTTTGCCCGTTCCTCAGCCCCTCTGTGTCTCTTTGTGACCTCCCAGCCCCTCTAGGTGTCTCTCTCTCTCAAACCCTGGTCTGCCGCTTTTATCCCTTTCACAGTCCCGCTGTGCAGTGTTAAATTTTGGCGGCAAATTTCAATTTAGTTTTAGTCATAGTTAGAATTGAGCGGACACCTGGCTGTTCAGGTCCGGCGGGTTCAGACGAACTTTGAAAAAAAGTCTGGGTTTGGGCTCGAATTTGACCCCAAACCCGAACTCCATTTAAGTCAATGGGAACCCGAACTTTTGGGCACAAAAATGCCTCTAAAAAAGTCCTGGAAAGGGCTAGAGGGCTGCAAAAGGAAGTAAAATGGGGATAAGAGTAGGACAAGTGCCCTTCAAACAAATGTGGATAGGGAAATCACTTAAAATAACATAAAATACATAAAATAAGCAGCCGCTTAGTAGATAACTCCCTAATTCCCATGGTATTAGGGAGCTATCTACCAAAAAACTGAAAGACCTAAATTGGTCTTTCAGCCAAATTTACTAATACTACGTAAAGATTACTTAGTATTAGTAAATTCAGGCCCAACTCACTATACTGTGAGTAGGGGCGTGTCTAGTAAACAGTGAGCAGCCAGTGGCTGCTCACTGTAAAAAAACAAAACAAAAACCTATTGCCCCCACCATTATGCGGTGGAGGGGGAGACCTACTGTCCTCCCCCCGGCCCCCACCCCTGTGTGGCGGGTGGGGTCCCTAAATAACTATAAGGGGGGGACCTACTGTCCTCCCCCCAGCCCCCACCCCTGAGTGGCGGGTGGGGGCCATAAATAAGAATATGGGGGGGACCTACCAATCAGGGTGTTATGAGTCAAATTACACAGCGTGGGAAAATTCCAAAGAACTTTCCACGCTGTGTAAAATGACGCAGAGCACTCTGATTGGTGGATTTCAAGCCAACCAATCAGAGTGCTGTGACAGGTAAATGTAGAGACTTACCTGTCAGTCTCTTCATTTACCTGTCAGAGCACTCTGATTGGATGGCTTAAAGACACCAATCAGAGAGCTCTGAGTCTAATTGCAGGGCGGGGCAAGGCTTTATAAGCCTTTTCCCGCCCTGCAGAGCTCAGTCTGCGCGGAGCCCTCCATGGGTGAAAATTGATTATCTTTTTTTTTTGCGCTTTTTTTTTTAAAGTGCATCTGTTAGTATGGATTTTTATTTGGTCTTTTTTAGGGCTGAAAAAAGAAGAGTTTAGAAGAATGAAGACATCAAATGGTAAGTCTATTTTTTTTTTTACAGGTATTTAGATAAGGGTCCCCCCTCATTATTTTTAGGATGAGGGGGGTAGGCAGGGGTTATTTTTTGGGGGGGAGGGGTGTGACTGGGGGTTTGGGGACCCCTAGTCACCTGGGAGGGTTTACATTTTTATTTAGGGCCCCCACCCGCCGCACAGGGTTGGGGGCAATTTTTATTTATGGCACCCACCCACCATTTAGGGGAGGGGGCCGGGGGGAGGACAGTAGGTCCCCCCTTTATTATTATTTAGGGATCCCACCCGCCGGGCATGGGTGGGGGCCGGGGGGGAGGACAGTAGGTGCCCCCTTTTATTGTTATTTAGGGCCCCCACCCGCCATGCAGGGGTGGGGACGAGGGGGGGACAATAGGTCCCCCCCTTATTGATATTTAGGGCCCCCACCCACCACTCAGGGGTGGGGGCCGGGGGGGGACAATAGTTCCCTCCCTTATTGGTATTTAGGGCCCCAGCCCGCCGCTCAGGGGTGGGAGCCGGGGGGGAATAGGTCCCCCCTTTAGTGTAAAAGCCCCCACTTGCGCGTCTCGGGTGGGGCTCAGGAGGGGGGAATGTTTAATAGACATGCCCCTACTCGCAGTATAGCGAGTAGTTGCATAATGTAATAATACTAAGAAACCAGCTTATATAGAGGCTGGGTCACATGCTGCACTGGCCCAGGAGTTTGCTGCACTCGCCAAACACCGAACTCCAACCCAAACATACAGTGATATGTCCATATTCGGGTCCGGGGTTCAAAAAACGTAATGTTCGGTACGAACCCGAACTTTACAGTCCGGGTTCGCTCAACTCTAGTCATAGTCTTTTGACTAAAAAGCTATTTTAGTTTTAGTCATATATCGGTCATCTGAATTGTTTTAGTTTTAAAGGAATAAAGATACAGATAACTGAAAATAAAGCAGGAAGTAGTACAGAAGAATTTGTAATTCTCACTGCTAAATATTGCTATATAGAGAAGAAGACTCAGCTGGCAAGCTGAGTCCCTAACATAATATAGCGTATTATATCAAATTTGGCTAATAGTAAGGCAGTCTGCAAAAAGAATAAAGAGCCCAAAGCAAGACAAGTGTTTCGGCGATATAAATTGCCTTTCTCAAGGGCACGAGCAAATAATAGCAAATAATAGTTATTTGCTCGTGACCTTGAGAAAGGCGATTTTTATAACATAATATAGCGTATTATAGCAAAGTAGGCTAATAGTAAGGCAGTCTGCAAAAATAATAAAGAGCCCAAAGCCCGACACGCGTTTCGGCGATAAAAATCGGCTTTCTCAAGGGCACAAGCAAATAACTATCATTTGCTGTATCTTCCTGTCCTTTCGATGTATTCATTTTTTTAGTGTATGGAAGCAATTAGAGTATTTGTCAGGTCCACTGGATCCCTTAGGACTTTGGTATACAGAAAGTAGTTATAGAGGGAATATTGTTCTCCCATATATATATGATTTTGATCTCTCACTGTATTTAGATTAATTTGGGATTGTTATAACAGCTGATACTTATCATGCTGTGATTACTGGATATTGGTTAAATGAACTGCTGCTATGCTGTTTATGTTGCAACATTTCTTACCATAATACTCTTTACTAGATTGAGCTATATAATAGGTATTAAGTTGCATTTATTGTAACTATGTTGGGTGTTCTCTGAGCATAGTAGCTCAGGATCCCCCTTTATATCCAATATTTATCCATATATAGCTACAGGCCAAGCAGTTTTGTGTGTGTACATAGACACTTTTTGTATTTTTAACGTTTATTTACCATTAATAAAACTATTATTTTTTTGAGTTTTTATATTTATTGTCCTGAAGGGGGTACTGGTTTTGATGTGATTTGGCTCCTTCTCTGTGTAGAGGAGTATTTTTCCCTCATTTCCTTATTTTTCTTTATTTAAGTGTTCTTGCATAGCAAGACCACTTAATGTTATCTCACATATATATTATTAAGTGTTCTTGCAAAGCAAGACCACTTATTGTTATCTCACATATATATTATTATTCTTATTATAGCCAAATTTGCCACCCTAACTCCTCCCACAGTTTTTACACTACATAGACAAAAATTTACCAAAACGTGCAGATTGTTCCCGATCGGATTGCTATTACTTTGTGGAACGTTTCGCTGAATGGTTCACGGAATATCGTCGTTCTTGTGGCGAAATTTGTCCCATAGGAATGAATGGCAAAGCTAGAGTGGGAGCTGGCAAAAGCTGAAAAATCAGGACATGATTTCTAAACTGCCACCACTCCCTTATTTTCAGGCCCACCTACACAAATCTTATATCAAAACGTTCAGCTATTCCTGCTGCCACTAAACATGTCAACGGCTAAGCCATAGTCCTGATAGTTTTCACAATATAATCATTTGTTTGCAACTAACGCCGTCCATTGACATTCATTGAAACTTCACTCTACAAAGCTCAAATTTGAAGTGCAATTTCTAAACTGCGACTGTGCCTTCATTTTTAATACTTCAGAGACATACTATGCATCAAAATGTAGGTCTGGGTCTTGTGATTCTCACAATATAAAGCTCTTCGCTGTAGGATTATAGTTTTTAAAATACGACCGTTTGAAGATGGCAACCACCAAAATACTCTGACCTGTCAAGCTGCAGCAGCAAGTGATGTCATAGACAGGGCCTTTTGAACACCTGCTAATGTTTTTATAAATGTATGGTTTAATGTAACTGTGCAACAACGTTGCAATTAAATGTGCTATATAAATGATAACAGTTACTCCGCCCACTCCAGTTGTAGACTACTGGTGGAGGCAAGAACACTTCACACAATTTCCCCAGAAATTGTAGCTTTTCTAGTTCTTGTATACTCTAGGGTTAACCCCTTAACGCCGTTATGGCGTTCTATGCCGTCGCGGCTTTAAAGGGCTTTAAAGCCGTTGCGGCGGCATAGAACGCCGTAACGGCTTAAGCCCCCAGGACCTCGGCAGTACTTACTTCCACCGCGATCCTCTTCTGGAGGGCTGCCTCACAGCCCAGGCAGCCCTCCCCCGGCAAATGAGGCCCCCGGGGGCCATGTGATCGCTCTCAAAGAGCGATCACATGGCCCCCTATAGCTGGCTGTGGATCTGCCAGCAGGGGGACTTTCTGAAATGTCAGACAGTCCCCCTGCTGGAGGGAAAGTAAAAAAAAAAAAAAGAATTAAACATGTGTAAAATTAAAATAAATGTATTTATTTATATATATATATATATATATATATATATATATGTATATATATTATATATACATATTATATAAGTAACGTCATACAAAGTGTATTTTAATACTAATATTAGTATATATATTAATATCAAAATACACTTAGAATGATGTTACATATAT